ATCATCTTAGCTGTGAGCTATTTATATATATAAAACCTTTATATATATGTTATATATATAATACCTATTATATATACTTGAGATTTATTCCATCTATGCCAAGTTTTGGTGTGGGAAGGGTTTATCATAAATAGATGTTGAGTCTTATCAAATGCCTTCTCTGCATTTATTGATGCCATCATAGGATTTCTATCTTTCTTTTAGTTGCTGTGAATTATATTGATTTTTTTCAGATTTTGAGTCATCCTGGTGTTTTTGGAGTAAACACTATTTGATCATGCTATATATTCTTTTGATATATTGTTAAATTTGCAAGGACTTAGTTTGGTATTTTTACATGTATGTTTATGAGGTATATTGGCCTGTAATTTTCTTTTTGTGTGTGTGATATCTTTGCTATTGATATCAGTGATGCTGGCCTTATAGATTGTTTTGAAAGTATTCCTTCTTAAAATTTTGAAAGAGTTTGAGAAGGATGAGTATTCATCTTTGAACATTTGGTAGAGCTCATTAGTTAAACCATCTGCTTTCACTTTTTGAGAGATTACTGCACCAATTTCTTGTAGTAGCTCTGTTCAGGCATTCTGGCTTTTTTCCTGATTCAATCTGAAGATTATAAATATCTAAGAATTTGTCCACATCATGTAGGCTGTTCAATTTGCTGGCATGTAGATGTTCATAGTAATCTCTTAAGATCAGTATGATCGAGTGTAGATATTCATAGAAATCGCTTATGAAATGTCTGCTGGAACTTCACTTCTTGGGTTTCTATTTATCAGATGTTCCTCCCCTTTTTTCTTAGTGAGTCTAGCACGAAATTTGCTTCTCAGTACTCCACACACCCCTCCCCATGTACCACCAACCTTGTACAAACTATTTTTGGGTTAGTTCCCCATAGCCAGTGATGAACTGGTAATGGTTCCTGTGAGCAAAATTTAGTTTTTTCTTTGTTTAAGGGAGAGTTTTAATCAAAACCTCCATATTCTGCCATTTGCTAGTGAAGGGCTATTATGTTTCTGATTTTACTTGTTTGTACCCTTTTTTTCCTTGATGAGTTTGGGTAGTTGTTTTTTAATTTTGTTTATATTTTCAAATAACCAGCTCTTAATCTCATTGATCCCTTTTATTGTCTTTCTTAGTCTCCATTTATTTCCACTTAGACCTGTATTTCCTTTCTCCTACTAAATTTGACTTCATCTGTTTTTCTTTTCACTGTCACTTTAGGGAGGGTGTTAACTTTTTTGAGATTTTTCTCATTTCTGAAAGTAGGCCTGTATCACTATGAAATTGCCTCTTAGAACCTCTTTTGCTGCATCCCATAGATCGTTGGTATATTGAATTTCCATTTTCATATGCCTCAAGTTTATTTTTTATTTGATGTTTTTAGTTGACCAGTTGTCTGATAGTATATGTTTAATCTCCACATATTTATAATTTTTCTGGTTTTCTTCTTGTAATTTGATTTCTAGCTTCTTACCATTGTGGCCAGAAAAAAAAATTTTATAACAGTTTATTTTTACATCATTTTGTACATATTTTTTTCCATCTCAATTGTAATCCCCGTGGGTTTCCCATCACCAAGTCACCCGTGTGCCATCACCATAATCCCGTGCACTTCCCTCCCCAACCCCCCATTTTTGATCCCATTCCCCACTCCACCCCCACAAAATGTCTCTGGTATATGGTTGTTCATTATTTTTGTTATTTTCTCGCCTGGTCCATTATACTCCTGCTATGAGTGAAACCATCTGGTATTTTTCTTTCTCTTTCTGGCTTATCACACTAAGCATGATCTTTTCCAGCTCCATCCAAGTTGCTGCAAAAGACATGTGTTTCTCTTGAAAAAACATTTTTTATATGATTTCAGTCTTCTTAAATGTATTGAGATTTGTTTTTGTGGTACAGTATGTGGTCTATTCTGAAGAATGTACTGGAGAAGACTGTCTGCTGCTTTGGGATGAAATGTTCTGGATCTGTATTAAGTCCATTTGGTCTAGTATAACATTTACAGCTGATATCCTTGTTCTCTGCTGCCTAGATGATTTTAATAGCATAGCTATGAACAAATCCACTACATTATTGTATTATTGTTAATTTTTCCCTTTAGGCCTGTTCGTGTGTGCTTTGCATTTAGGTGTTCCTAAATTGGATACTTAAGATATAACAGTTGTAAATATTTATCAGTATGCATTGCCTTTCATTTTGGTTGTTTTTAAAGTCAATGTTGTCATAGGTAAGAATGACTCCTTTCTTTTCACCTCCATTAATATGGAATGTTTTTCCTACCCTACACTTCTAGTCTGTCTTTACGTCCAAATGAGTCACTTGTAAACAACATGTAGATGAGTCTTGATGTTTTGGTTGTTTTCTTTTATCTATGTGGCTATTCTTTATTTTGACTGAAGAATTTAGACCAGTTATGTTTAAAGAGCTTATTCGTGGTATGTATAAGTTGCATTTAAAATCACTTTCTGGTATTTTTTTTTAACTCTTTGTTCCTTTTTCTCTTCCCTTATGGTTTGGTAATTTTCTTTAGTGTTATATTTAAATTCCTTTTTCTTTTCAACTATACTTTTTTGCTTTGTGGTTACCATAAAGTTCAACTAATAATGTACTTACCTAGCATTCTATTTTAAGTTGATAGCAATCTAATTTTGAAGTCACTCTAAAATTGTATATTTTTACTTTGCCTTCCATGTTTAGTATTTTTAATGTCACAGTTCATTTCCTTTCTGGTGTGTGTGCATCTTAGTTTATTGGCTTCGTTAGTTTTATAAGTGATTTATATACTGCCTTTACTATTTGCCTTTACCAGTGAGCTATTTTTTCTCTCTTGTTTTCTTGTTCCAGCTTAGTTCTATTTCTTTTCAGCCTAAAGAACACTCTTTAATATTTCTTGTGAAGTCATTTTAGGTAAATTCTTTTAGGTTTGTTTATCTAGAAAACACTATCACTCAGAATTAGAAAGATAATTTTGTCAGGTAAAGAACTTGACTGTAAATTTCTTCCTCTCAGCACTTTAAATATACCATAATACTCCTTTCTGGCCTGCAAAACCTCTTATGAAAACCTGCTGAAAGCCTTTTGGGAGAGTTCCATGTGACATGTTGATTCCCTCTTGCTGATTTTAAGATTTTTCTACATCTTTCACATTTGACATTTTATCATCAAAGTGTGTCATAATTGTTGGTGGTAGAATGCAAGAGGGTCTGAATATCTCAGCCCGGTGGGACCCAGAAATGCTAGCTCCTAGTGACCAGAGCTGGGCAACCCCATGACATCCTCTGTGTGAACTACTCAGACTCTCTGGTGTGAACAGAGTTATGGTGGTCACAAAGCAGAGCAAAGCTAGTGGTTTCTGTGGAGCTGCAAGGAACACAGAGGCAAAGTACTGGCTCTAATGGGGTCTGTGGAGCTTGAAAATAGCACCTGCCAACACAATAGCAAGCAAGGTAAAGTGCAAGATCAAATATGGCACCTGCCAGCACTACTGTCCACAAAGCAAATTCCCTCAGTTCCCCTTGCCTCTGACAAAAACTTTAAGATGAGCTAAAAAAGAAAAAAAAATCTTCATATGTGGTCTGGGTACTTCCAAATCACCACTTTTGTACTGAATCCCAGGGTGAATCTGTGCAATGGCCCTTTCAAGTCAGGCTGTCCATTTGAGTCTCCTGAGCAAACATCTCATTGGTTTTGAAAGTCAGACCTTGGGGGGACACCTCTGTGGTACAGGTCCCTAGGATTGGATGCCTGCTATGGGGCATAAACCCATCACTCCTCAGTGAGAAGCTCCTTGTTTGGGAGCTCGCTCCCACTTGTAGGTCTTCAGACAAGGGTGGGGGAGATGTATATGGAGGTGCTAGAGTGCTTGTCTGACTTTATTGATAAAGCAGAAATTAGAGATTGACCACCAATTCAAGCAGGGAACATTTGTTGACTATGAAATAGGAGAGGGGCAGAAACTGCCCTGGGCCACTCTCCGGGTTGAGCACTAGAGCAGGGTAGTGGGTCTGTTTCGTTGGTGCTTGACTGGTGGAGGATCTGTGGCTTTCCTATTTGTTTGAGGGACTAGCAAGGAGGTAAAACAAGCAAGGGTCAGAGACCTGGGGCTCTGAAGCTGTTGAGAATGCATCCCCATTTCCATTGGGTGCTTTCATCACTTGTTACAGGGAGATTTTTCAGTTAGTGTTTGTGTACTTTTTCAGAAGAACCTGTTTCAAATGTAGCTATAGAGTTGGTTTGTCTATAGGATCAGGTAGCTCAGGGTTAACCTATACTACCATCTTGACCAACCTACTAAATGTTTTTAATACCTTGGACCAGTACTAGTGTACCGACCTGGAACCACTCAATGGTAACAACCAAAACCACTTGTGTATACACACAAAGGAAACATGCTCAGCATGTATGTCCCATTGGTTTCCATGGCATAGCTGGATGAACTATGTCTATGCTACTCTTAAGAGGAAAAAACCCAACAGGTCAGCATGAACCTCAGATTAAAAAAAAAAAAAAAGGCTAATAACATCAAACTAAAGGAATCCTGTTCTTACTTTTTTCTTTATACTTTACCTTATTTTATTCAACAAATGTCTTAAAAATACTGAAATATCAAAGGATACACAAGGAAGAGGACACAAGATAGGTGCAGAAAAAGCACAAATGGAGTTCAGAAAGTTCTGTGATAAACAACTGATAAAACTCTGATTTAAAAAAAAAATGGGTAGATGAAACTGTCCATTTTCCCCAAAGGGGGAAAAAAAGCATAGATATTTATCAAAAGCCAAACATCTAAGCTTTTGCAAAGGGGGAATGTGTCATGAGAAAATGAAAAATAGCCCTAATATCTATCGCATAAAATATCTAATAATAAAATACTAAAGGGCAATATAGGAATATCTAAAAAAGTATAGTGCTTGTGTTGGATAAAATTTTAAATGATGGGATTAAAATGGCTGTTGCTGGAATAGGATTTGCTATATAAACTCAAGCATTCCTTTTCAACTTCTTAGAGGTTGTGTTTCAGGTTTTGGATCAAGTTTCGGATCATCATCACCACCTTTCTTTAGTCGCACAAACACAACTGTTAAAATTATACCTAAAAGAGAAAAGTCAGAGTCAAATAATGGAATGGAATCTTGAAATGTAATATACTGTAAGATTCATTTATAAAGTCATACACTGGACTTTATAAAGGAAATAGGAGAAAGTGACTCATTTCACTTCATTTTGTATGCAATTCAACAAAGTGTCATTGTCCTGGTAACTAAGGGACTCTAGGCATTGGCTTTCTTGGAGTTTATCACCTATCTTCTTGCTAGTATATATCAAGTTCCAAATTGTGTCTACATTAGTGGCTATTGCTGGGTCTTTATCAGGGAATACAGGGGCTTATACTACTCTAAAGTAGAGCATTTGACAGAGTTCCTAAACTTTACACAATCAGCGTAACCAAAAGCCTGTTGGTAAACAAGTTTACCCAAGCTTACATTTGCGTCTACACCAAAGATAACATTTTCTTTAGTGCCTTCATTAGGGCCTCCAGCTTGAGTAGTCTACCGAGTTCTTGTGGTTTCTCCCACCCTCTGAACTCTACAAAATTACAGTGAACATTTTAGCACCAAAGGTGTAGTATAAATCAGACCAATATGAGAAAGGGGTTATCTTAGGGTGTACCTTTAAGAAAAGTAACCTAACAGTAATTTTGTAGGAGGAAGCAGAAAAACTCATAATCCCAGCTGCAATTCGAAGAAATAGGATATGAAGCTTCCACAATTCTACAGAGATCCGAAAATTCAGGAGAACCACCAGCCCATGCAGATAGACACATCGATGAGCTCATGTCTCCAAAGCCCAGGACAGGAATCCTTGAATCTAGAAATAATACTCACCAATGACCAAAAAGGTGGTCAGGAGTACACCAACTGCTATACCCACTGTGGGCATCCCTTCTTGGTTACCTGTTGGCCGGTAACAACTTCCAGCCGATTCACACTTGCAAAAAGTAACTGAAAAACAAAACAGTATTTTAGTAGGATACATTTTGAAGCAAACACTAGCAGAACCTCATAGCAAAAATAAGAATTCTCAAACTACTCAAGGTGGTCTACATCAAAATACCCACCTGGTACATAAACTGTCCCATCCAAGGGGGGTTGGCCACCATCACTGATGCGGACCTCGACATCATAAACTTTCTCCTCAAAGTTTGTGTGTTTGGTGGAGAGAGTGGCATGAGTTCCTGTCAGATTGGGGGGGATGGAGGGTGAAGGGATATGAATGAAAATATAACTGTACCAGTAGGAATGAAGCTCATCTTTGCCTCATACATCATTTGACATAAGTATAGTTAAATTACTCTAGTATCACTCCATGTATACCTAACATAATCTTTAAAAGGGCTAAATATTTAAGTTCCCTTTGTAAGTTCTCAATTCATGATTTCTCTGTAGAATTGAAAATAGTTACCATTGTTACCAAAATTATTTTTATGAAGTTGCTGTAAAAAGAAATTAGATATTTCTTCAAATCTCTTTTCTAACTGCTGACTTCCCCAAGTTAGATGAAACTAATCCTCAGATCCAAGAAGATCAGAAAGGAGAAACGTAAACGAAAACTGTGCCAAGGTACATAATCAAATCGCTTACAACTAGTAATAAAGAGAAAATCTCAAGTATCCAGAGAAAAAGACACTTAATTGTTTCTTTGTTCCCTTGAATATAATCTAGAATAGTAAAGAAATATCTTTAAGTATTCTAATTATTTGTTCTCTAGCTACTATGGAATTAACTAAGAAATCAGTAAACAAAAAGATAAAGGAAATTTCCAAATATTTGGAAACTAAACCACATCTTAACAACCCATGAGTCTTCATTTTCGGCTGATGGCTTCAGTGGTGTATACATATATCAGTTTTTGTAAAGTTATGCATTTTAGGGCATAGCAACTATTTCAGTAATTCAATAGAGCTTTTTCTTATGAAACTTTTTTTCACTGAAAATTTGGAAATGTTGCTCAGATTGTCCAGCTATTCCTCTACACTAAAAAGGATGCTGTGTGTTAATCTCTCCAAAGCCTGGAGCTCTCTCTCCTGTGGGCAGTTAGCTTCACTGTGCAAGTTTCCAATTCATAAGCTGGCTCACAGTAGCATGGGAGAAAGCACCCTGTTGCCCGCTGCCAGCCCACCAAGGCAAAAACATGTTTCATCATCCAGCAGTGCTTGTCCCGTGCATTTTTCACAACTCACCATTGAGTTTGGAGAGTTCCCAATTTTCATTAAAGCTGTCTTTGCCAAAGAAAAATGTAAACCGTGGACCCCTGTATGGCTGCAAGTCATCATCTGTGGCCTCAAAAATGACATGTCCACGTTCTTTAAGGGGATGGCAGAGGATCAACAAGCCGTGGTAGTCCTTGATCAGTCGTGGGGGGTTGTCATTCACATCCTGAAGGGCCAGCTGGAATTCCACTTGTGAGCTCAAAGGGCCACCTAAGGAATGAAATAATCAAAGCATTGTTCTCTCAAAAAGAAAGGACAGTTTCTTTAAAAACAATGTACCATTCAAACATACTGAAAGAAAGCAAGTTTTAAAAACCAAACCTGTCTTCCTTAGGTTAAAAAGCCGTAGTTTGTGTGCTGTTATAGGTAGAGTACTTTGAAATAACCAATACATGTTTATAGGTGAAGGCTGAGGCTCAGAACTTGTGGGGTTTGGCCAAGGTCGCAGGGCAGTAGGGATGGCCTGACTGTAGATTCCACAACCTCCACTGCACTTCAAAAATGAAGTAGGAATCTTCATTAAGTTTTTCAGAGCCTCATTTCAGCTATAAAGTTTGTGGCTTTGAGGATCCCTTCTTTTGGTGCTCTCAGATGACAATAATGGGATGAGCAAGAGACTTACTGTGATAGTGAGTGGTGAGAAATCTAGATGTGTAGCTTCAGTGGTTGACAGCCGCATGATGGTGAGCAAGTTACTTATCTTCTCACCGCCTTCTTTTCCTCACCCAAAACATTGTCAATTACAGCATATTGCATAATGCTGAGTGAGGAATAATTGTGACACTGAGGGCTTAAAATGGGCTGGGAATGCCACTGACTATAACCATTCTGATATCAATCCTAGATGCTTGTTTCTAAAATTTGAGTCCCACCTGCTTCAATTCCAGTAAACTACTTTCTTTCTTCTCAAATCTATTCTTAAAGGAGGAAAAGCTTCTGTGCTCTTGAAGTCACTTCAGCTCTCTGCATTGTTTCAGTTCCAACTACAGATGGAACAGATTTTTGGACCTTGGTTTTGATTCTTGAAATTTCTAAACTCAGAGGTCTTTAGGGCACACATCCAGAGTGGAATATGTTGTAGGGGTATGCATAACACAAATGCCTCGCTGGAAAATGTCTGCTGATTCATAGGGAGTTTTTAAATCAAGAGTTAAATGTGTACAATGTGATAGTGTAATGTGCTTAACGGGAAGCAGGCAGTGGAGACTGAGGCCTTCCCTGACCCGACTCAGCAAGGCCCGCTGCTCTCATATGTCCATTCCAAATTTGGCTCATACTTCCGGCCTCACTGGTTTAATTTGTGGTGCTTTTATTTTCAATCATTACACATGCAGAGACTATTTTTGATTCCTACCTACTGGAATGTCCGCCATTCTACCTCCTGACCCCAGATCTCACATTTTAAAAGTTTATTTTTTGGCCTAAAACTGTATTTAGTAATAATTTATTGAATTTTTATTTTTAGTAAACCATGCAGCTATATTTGCTATTTAATTATAGCCTCTGGTTAGTATAAGAGCAACAGAATTCCTTCTCTAATTTGGAAAATTCCATTTAAATGCAAAGAAACTCAATGTTTTAATTACCAGCCTTATCACTGGTAAGCATGCTATTTGGCTATGAGTTTATCTTTAACATTTTTTTATTTCCACTCAAACAATGGGCAACATATGTCAGTACTTTAAGTGAATGAGGTGCAGAGATTATAAAAGGATGTTTCAAACACCCTTGACTTAATAATCTTTCTTTCTAAAAATTTACCCTACTTCATCAAAACACAGATCCTCTAGCATCTGTATTGAATACATTTCCTGGATGATTCTGGCACATATCAAAGTTAAACATTGCATAACATTTTCTGTTTCAGAAGGAATCATCCCTGAGGTGCTGTGAGGATGAAGGCGCATTAGTGGCATAAGTCAGTAGGCAGTGGCCTAACCCTGCACCCAGGAGAAGCCTTCAGCTACTATGAAGGAAGGGGACTTGATAGGGGAGGCTTCCTGTAATCTGTAGCCCCTACAACCAGTGAACAGAACCCCTGATATCTAGGCCACCCTTAATGGGCAGGAAGGTGATTTTAGTCATCCAGAAAACCAAAATATTCATTATAATAAATCAGTGATCTAGTAAAAGTAAATGGGTTTCGTGAGTTGATGGCAAACCTGTTGAGCCTGAGGTGGGTGTCCTGGGAACCTGATTCAAAGCCAATCAGATGTGCAGATAATGATCTGGGGTTGTGATGGACACTTGAAACCTGAGGAGAGCTTTGGGGGACCTCCCTTCTGTAGCCAGCAGGTAAGATAATCAAGTGCAGCTTGCAAGCTGAGTACAAAAAAAAAAAATGAACCCGTCCTGTGGAATCTGACACCATCTATCTGGAGATAGGCACCACAGTGCATCCAGTAATTCACTTTGGTGCTGAGAACTGCTTGTGGTGAAGGAAGCCTACCCATCCTTCTGTTGGAAACTGAGTTGCCCAACACCACCCTCTCTGAGCCTTCCCTCCCACTGATGAAGCCTCTAATAATTTTGGTGGGGTTTTTTGTTCACTTACCTACTTCAGAAGCCACCACTTGTACTCGGTATAGACTTTCAGTTTCCCTATCCAGTGATGCCACACTAAAGATCTCTCCAGTCTTGGAGTCAATTCTGAGCCAACCTCTTGTGTCGCCTGTCAGTGAATAGCTTCCGAAAGTGAAAAGAGAAAAAAAAAATCATTCTACATGAATATGTGAATAGTTTTTAATAGTTATGTTTCACTTTTATATCGGCACTGTCATTTGCATAGCATCTGTCTTCAAAGGGAGGATTTCTTTATCCTAAAGAATTATACCTGTTTTAGTAGAAAATATATAGTCAAACTCTGGGGGTGGGGAGAAGGAACCTTTCTGGCAATCAAAGAATTTCAATTAAGATATCAGGGAAGAATCTTTTAAAACAGATTAGCAAAGCACCCCACTTTAAGGAAACCTGACCACCCAGTGGTAGACATGTGTGAATTTGTGGGTTCACAGAGCCTATTGGTGGCAAAGTGAGTTCTCACAACCAACCATTCAACAAAAACCTGTTGAGTGCTTAGCAAACATCTGGTAGTGGGCCGAAATTCAAAAAAAGGGCTTTTATAGGCCAGTGGAGGGGACATAGTTTTTTTAAAATGTGACAAATAACAATGGAAGTGGCCCCTATGGGATTCTAAGGACATTTGTGGTAATCAGAGAAGTCTTTCTAAATGAGTGAATGTTAAAGACAAACAAGACCAGGGAGGAGGCTTCAAGAAGAGGTCAAGGAACATTTTGGTGAGTGAATAGTCAGACTTCCCAGCAGTATCCCAAAAGCCCTTTTGGGATACTGGGAAACAGTGGATGACAAAAGATGAGGCTAGAGAGATCAGAAAGAACCAGATCATGGGAAGCAGTGGTGTTAAGTAGGAACACAATCACATTTGTGGTTTCATTGGAACTCAGTGGGTATGTTAAAGACAAAGTCTAGACAAGACTAGATTCACAGTAAAATCCACTGGTACAGTCAATGTAGGGCTGGAATGCAACTCACTATTGCTGCAAGGTTGCCCACACCTTTAGACCAAAGAGTCTAAAAACTCACCTCTGGAAATTTTCCCCAGGTAAACAATTTAATAGTAGTGAAAAATTATATGTATGTATATAGTCAGAACATTTTCCATACTATGCAGGAAACAAGCTTTATGTCCAGGAGTAAGAGAATAAAGATGCATGTGTTAGTATGTCAAATCAATTTTTTTCTAATGTACTTACATATTCTGTATACCAAGCATGATGTTAGGTTGTATATTCTGGTAAGGAAAAGGAAATCTTATGTACTGGTGAGACTTCATACTGAGTTAGATGGGGATGTTCTGGAGATTTTTTGATAGAATCGCATGACCTCATTTAAATTTTCAAAGGACCTCTCTGATTAAAGTGAATCGATTCAGAGTGGCGAAGGAGTAGCAGGGACAAAGACAGAAAAGAGATTATGGTGGCCCAGACCATGTGAACTGGTGAGAAGCATTTATGCTCTAGATACATTCCAATGAAAGAGTCTCTAAAACATGTTGGTAGATTGAGTTATGATCCATTTGGTGCCAATGGTTTCTAAGTTTATGGAACTGAGAGAGAGAATGAACTTGTCGGGTCGAAAACTTTAGAATCATCCTTAACTCTTAACTGACTTGTGATTAACTTCTGAAGTTTTATTAAGTACTATTAAGTACCTTTCACTCTCAAAACACTTATTTCATCTGTCTTCCAGGACTGTTCCTTACCAGACATTCCCCTTCTTAGCCCTCTTCCTCATCTTTCAGGTCTCAATGTAATAGAATCTCTTCTTAGTCTATTTGAGAAATTTTCTTCAGTGCCTTTGTCTTGCCCTCTCATAAACTCCAATTCTTATTAACTAGTCTTTGACTATTGATTTTTATAGCATTCTCTGCAAGGGTGCAGGACATTGATTAGACAAAGGATTGTACAGTTATAAGCCCATCAAAACTCATGACTGAGATAGAGTAATGGCTTCCCTAAGCCATACCTATTCCCTGCTGTTCTTTTTGTCTATGAAACTGTGGAAAGGGGTCAAGTAAAACAGTAAGAAAGAACTTTCTTCCTTGACACTATGTAAAAGGTCTTGGCACTGATTCCAAGTGCCTAACTCACAGCTCCCTGGGAGACAAAACTGCCCTCAAATGTGGAGAGAAATTTAAGAATTTGCTTACTTTGTCATTCATAACTGTATACACTGGTTTAATTCATAACTGTGTACACTGGTTTAAGTCATACTGAAGTATTTGTCCTGCCATAGACTAGTGTTCTGCAATAAAAGCAGAAGATTTGGATTCAATCCTCTCTATATGCATATTAACTATGATCATAAAGGTGTGGGCAGCTATTGAAAAATATGTATTTGGGGCAAAGTAATTATCATTGCTCATTTTTAAGGCAAGTTTGTCACTCATATTGCACTGGGGAAAAAAGATAGGGAATTGCTAAGATGGAAAAATGTACATTTTTGTTTCACCTTCTTGGCCTAAGAACTAGCTTATAAGTTTCGTTGCCCCAGCCTGCTCTCAGGAAGCTACAGCACCAATCCTATGGGTCCTGCAGGACCCTGTATGGAGAAGTTTCCCTTGTCCCTGTTGAATACTCGTGTGTCTCCAGTTGGGTTTTTGCCTCATTCTCTGTGTGTAGAACTCCAGTCTGCCTAGGGGCTGATCTCTTTCCCACACCCCAGTCCCTATGACTTGTTCAAATATAGGGCTTGTCTTTGGGCAGCCCAATCTGCGCCCCAGCACCCAACTCGATGACACTCAACTAGGACCTGCAATAAGAGCTTAAATGAAAACTGATGTGCTTCCTACTTGCTTGAGCCTGAATGCTCATTGGCATACCACCATCCTGCTGCCTGCCCCCCACCCCCCAAGCCCTCAAGGGTCAAGTTAACATGCACTACACACAGCTTCAGATCACTGACTGCTTTCTTAGGGGGAAGCCCTGGGGTTAAATGAGCGGTCTGCCCCTCCCAGCTCTCCCTCCTCCTGCTAGCCTTGGTCCCAGCTGTAGCTAGGCCTGCCCAACAGTGCCATCTTCTACCTTATGTTCAGATGTTCCGGATCCCACGCAGTCACATTGCCCACTTTGGTACCTACTGGCACATCCTCAGGGACTTTTTCTAGGAAGAAATAATTGGAAAATTGGGGTGCTTCATTCACATCTGTCACAATAAGCTTGAATCTGGCAGTAGAGCTGGCATTGTACTTTACAGAAGCTACCAGGGGCTCTGGATTTTCTGCTTGGAAGACAATGTTGTGAACAGTTGTTGCTTCAAAATCAAGAGGCTGTATAGAGAAAAGAGGGAAAATTAATTTGGGGATGATTAACTTCCTTAAAATAGTACCTTTTTAAACTATTAGAGTAGCTGTTCTCAATCCAGGATCAGCAGAAACCTCACAAAAATAAGGCATGGAACCATCCTTGCTGCAGGACTCAGAGCTTTGACCATGTTAATATGTACATGTTCCATAGAACATGAGGAAATTCTTACATTTTTTTAACCCTGAGAGATTTCATTCACTCAACAGAAGCTAATGACAGTGTTCCTGGTGTCCCATCAGCACACCTGAGGTGTCACCATTAATTTAGCACCTCTGTTTATAGATAATCTATGAAAAACACACATTCCAGTAAAGGGGAGCTTGACCTTTTTAATTATGACATATCCAGCATTAGTTTGGGGATCCGTCTCAACGTCCAGTCGTCCCCCACTGTCTCCTTCTATGATACGATACACGATGTTAGAACTCCCAGTAAATGGCTCATCCTCATCAGTAGCCTGGATGGTTAAGATGGTGGACCCAACGGCTGTATCTTCAGCAAGAGTTAGGTTTCCATACTAAGAAGGAAGCAGAAAGGAAGCGATAAGAGTATCCATTGTCAAACATAATCACCAAAAGTCTCATTGGTTTCAGAATGGACGCAAGTCATTGTGCGCATCAATACTTATCAAGCAGGTGTTCTCCCATTGAGGACTCTTTCGCTGTTGATTTTGACTACATTCTCAGTGGTATCTCCACTGTATAAAGAAAGAGTGTCAGAGAGCTACTGGTAGGATTCTAAAACACATTGCCTCTCCTCTATCAAATGTGCTTAATAACTGTTATACAGTAGTAAATGTTACAAATAACTACAGTGAGTACCTACAATGAAGCAGACACTGTACATCTTTTATGTTAATTTGTTCTTAAGGCAACCAAGGAGTATTGGATAAAAGCCTGAACTTTGGAGTGAAATGGCCAGGGCATGAATCCCAGTCTTGCATTGTTGAGCTGGGGTGACTTGCAGAAAGTTCTTTAAAGAACCCAAGTTCTTTAAATCTTAGTCTTATTTTCTAAAGAGATAACAGTAGAAACTACTTCATGTTTGCTGTGGGGATTGAGAGAGATGATGCATGAAAAGACCCTGTGAAAAAGCTGAGACGTAACCCCTAGGGCACCAGGGAGGCCCAAGAGTCTCCATTTAACTGGGCATTTGCTCTTTTCCTTGTGTTATTTTCTGGCATCACAAGAGAACAAGAGACAGTGTTTCTGTCTGGTACATGGTCGTTTCAATAACAATTGAAGCTCACAATGCCCTCTGCATAGCAAAATTATTCATCTTCATTTGATGGAGGTGCAGAGCATAGCAAAGGTAAAACCCACCTGAGACCACACTTAAGACTCACAGAAATGAGATCCAACCCCATGTCCAACTCCAAGCCTGTGGTCTTACTGACTTAGACCTTCTCTGATGCCTCCACTGAAATCTCCTAAGCTGTGTGTCTTAGCATCATGATCTTAACGATGGTAACAGGCAAGGTCCACAGCAATGAAGACAGTGGCCCCCCTCTAAAGTCTGGTGCATATGTCCCTCCAACAGTAGGATGCTCACCCTCTGTCTAAAAACACTGTCATGCCAGGAAATCACAACCCAAGAAAAAAACAAATGCCCAAGCAAATGGAGGCTGAGAAGAAATGAGTTCTTGGGCCTCCCTGGTGCCCTAGGGGTTCCGTCTCAGCTTTATCACTGCTACAGCCCTAGTTTGAACTCTGACTCCTCCTGTCTTATCTGCTTGCCACTCTTCCTCTGGTAACTCTTCTTACCTTCTCCCCCATTTGGCCTATACCCCAATTTTCCTAAGCAAAAAAACACTTTCTCAGGGTTTCTTAGCCTCCGTGCCTGTTAAACAAGTTCTGTACAGTCATACATCTTAATTGCATCAAAACTGCTCATAAATCAATTCCCTTTCTTTGTTACAGCTTTGTCCCTATTTTAATTTAGGAACATCATCACCTGGTTCTGGGCTGCAACATAACAATCTAGTCAAATGCCCCAGAATAGACATTCTTTTAAGGGGAGCAGTGATAAAACCACCCAATTTAAAGCCTACATCAACAATAAGTATACAGTAACTTAATACTCAACATTTTTTCTCCTATTCTTTCTGCCCAGTTCTTCCAATTCTTGCAAATGTCTTGAGCCCAGTTTTTCTTTCGCGTAAGTCAGAAACTAGCTGCTTCTCCTCTTTTACCCAATTATTTCAAAATAAATTCAAGTTGCCAATATTCCAGACATTAATTTTCAAGTGCTTGTTTGAGACCTATTACTAATCTACTTATTATCCCACCATACACAAAACATGATGACAGGCCCCTTTCCCTTTGAAAAAGTTGTACCTGTAGTTTTTTTTTTTTTTTAAAGATTTATTTATTTTTGCATACAGAACTGGGATACAGGCCAGAGACTCAGGGGCAGTGAGAGGTTTCACCATAGACAGAGTGGGGAGCAGAACAGGCAGATCGATGAAGTACACTGCTGAGGGGAACAGCGGGTGGGTCAGGAGAGCTCTGCCACACCATGTGGTCACCTCCGGGGCAGGCGGGAATCGAACTCATGAGGAAGTGGCTTTAGATTCTCAGTGCTGTGCTTTAACCTGCTGCGCCACCAGGGAGGGCCCTGTACCTGTAGCTTTTAAGCAGCCCTTGGAATAAATGTGCCAGCGGCAGAAGTTTACATACTTCCCCAGATACTGTAATAGCAAATGTTACTGCTCCCTCAAGAAGCCTATAGAAGAAGGTGTCTGCGTTTGTTACTAGTGCGTGAGTAAGGCTGTCTGTTCAGCCTGCCATATTTCCTAACTACCATCTGTCTTTATCCCAGAAAGAGGTTCCAAGTAATAGAACAACAACAAAAAAAAGGCAACTACTCACATCTGATTTTTCAAAGATGGGGATCTGATCGTTGATATCAATAATATTGACTTGCAAGAAACAGGAAGTGTTGAAATCTGCCAGAAAAAAAAATAGCATGAAATGATAACTGTAGTCACAACTTTACTGACTTGTAATTTATGTGGAGAGGGGAGTCTTTGCTCCACACCTGCACCCACAAGCAGATCACCAAGGGTAGACTATTAAAGTCCTGAGAGAATGCCCCTGGGCTTCCCACTGTGCTTTGCCTGCCTCCTCCTGGGTAACACTTGTTCCTGAGCTAGGCAGTCCTCTGCTCTAATCAGTGAAGCTTATGTAAAATTCAAAGCCTACTGTAAAACTATGCAGAAAACATTCTTTGAACATCTCCCCTCTTCTGTGCCAGTTAGCCTGCTGGGTAGCAGGTCCTCCCTGAATTTATGTAAAATTCTTCATTGCAGCCTAGCCTCTCAGTTTCTGTAGTGCACAACTGAATGTTTAATTCTACAAACCTGTATTTATAAAACTGGTCCATATTTTCTATAGATGTATTCATGGACAAGGACAGTGTGTAATCTGATTTCCACTTTACGGAAATAAACAGCCCCACGCTGTTGGGTAGCTTGTCATTTTACTGTAATAAACCTAATTCAGTGACACCTCTCCTATAAAGTATCAGCTTCTCTCACCCTCCAGTGAGGCACTCGTTTCCTTTGTGGGCTTGCAGCTTATTCACATGCCCTTCTCCCTGACTGAGTGTACTGTAAGGACTAACACCGGTTCTCACTCACCTATACATCCTTAAGACTTTGGTGCCTCAAACAAGGTAAACACTCAGTAACAATTGGCTGAACAGATGTATGACTAATGATGTGAAATTGTCATTCATCAGACAGGGATGATGACAATCGCTTCCATTGTACTACTTGACATAATTCTGAACAATAGAAGGTATTCAGCATTCGCCAGAGTACTAAGTTTCAAACATTCTGCTTTGGATCCTGCCCAACTCCAGTCCATTAACATCTGTCTAAAGGGAAAAAGTGTGAAGCACCATGTGAAATGATGCTTTCTTCTTCTCTGCCAACTATAGAATTTGAAGCTCTTAGCGTATCAGTGGAATTTTTAGTAATCTAAGATTCATTTCTAGTTAATGCATAGGAGGGCACTTGACCTTCTAGGCGTGTGTGTGCCCATAAAGTGAGTCTATCCCTGAGTACATGTATTTGTGCATTTGTACATGGGAGCACCCACTTGTCTGAGAATGTGTTCATTTGTGTGAGAATGCAGAATTTTCATTGGATTCTCAAAGGGTCTTATGAGCCACTTGCTTTGAAGCTAAAGCGTAGGAAGAATGTCTGATATCAAATGGCCAACTAGAAGCTGAGAGAAGATAGAACTCCCCAGAAATTCTTTGTCCTCTTTTCCTTCTAGTAGAAGCATTGCAATGGAACCAGAGTTGTCTTGTTTGTGATCCTGGCAGCTGTGAGAAAAGTGCCTTGCCTACCCCCGACAGCAGGGATCTTTATGCTCTGAAATCCATCAGCACATTGGCACCAAGGCCTGGCTTGGTTACTACTGTTCTTGAAGATCATAGACCCATTGACAGGCAACTTTCAACCTCCCAAGGAAGTTGACTTTCCTTCGGTTTCTCAGTGGTCTTTTTGGTACTCTCACTACTTACTTTCCTTCCTCCTTCACTTCGAGTTGGCAAGTGTTGCAACCTGGTGGCTCTCCCAACTTTCTCTGCCTCCCTCCCCGCGTTTCCTTGGGGCTGTTCGCCTCATGGAATCCTTGTACGTTTAATTCCCTCCTGGTATCTGCTTTGCAGAGGACTGTAATCAAGACAATGTGAACAAAAGGAAACTCCGGCTGTTTGTATGTTGGATGCCTCCAAGCAGCATGTGTGCCTGATGTAGGAAACCAGACCCCTCAGCCTCCCTCTGGAGAAGACCAGGCACCAGAACACCCTCACCAGCTACAACCAGAAGGAAAACAGTGAATGTGATACTCACCTATATCAGATACCATTACTGTCAGGTTGTATTGAGGAGAATCTTTTTTCTTCAAGGAATGTTTAGCTAACTGTACCACTCCTGTGAATTTCTGGATCATGAAGAGGTCACTGCTGGGAAATTGGGGGGCTTGACCCACAAGCCTGTAAGTTAAGATGCTGTTGACACTGTTTTTCTCATCCATGTCATGAGCAGTGAAAATTCCAATATTGCTCCCTGTGGAGAAAGCAAGAAGGAAACTCAACCCTTACAGGCTCTATTTAGTCTAGGTTTTTAGAAATGGTTTTGTTGAACAAGAGGGTCCTTAGGAAGCACTCTGAGTAGTAATGACTTTGAGTAGCAGACTAAAGCTCTTAGATTTGTTTTGTTTCTCCTATCCCTTCCATAGTGCAGTAGTTTGCATAGTATATTTGTTTACTAAGACTATCAAAACAAAGTACCATGGACTAGGGAATTTTAACAACAGAAATTTATTTTCTTAGTTTCTGGAGGCTAAAGGTCTGACATCTAGGAGTCTTCATGGTTTTTTTTCTACATGCCGAATTTTTTTCTTAGGACACCAGTCATACTGAATGCATTCATCTAAGCCAAAGAAATATCTACTTATCATTAAAATCTATTCCCAAATATCATCACCCTTTGAAATAACTAGTCTCAATCTCCTAGTTATATACTAGATATATGAATTTAAGGGGTGGAGGAATAGTTCAGCCCATAAAATGAATGGTATATTATAACAATTTCAGATCATTCAGCACCTACAGTGTGACCTTATTTGGAAATAGTCTTTGCAGGTGTAACTAGGTAAGGGCCTTGAGCGGTTGTGTGGGTGTGTTTGTGTTTTCTTAGAAGACACACAGAGAGGAAACAAAATGAAGGAGGCAGAGGCTGAAATTTGGCCTTCACAAGCAGTCGAGTTCCAGGCACTAGAAGAGGCCAGGAAAAATTCTCCCCTGGAACCTTTGAAGGTTGCACAGCCCAGCTGGTAGCTGGTACATTCAGACCTCTAGCCTCCAGCACTATGAAAATAAACTGGTTATTGGAAGAAATCAAGCTTCTGGAAGAAATCAAGCTTCTGGTGATGTATGTTAGTGTGCTATGACTGACACAAGAAATAAGTGCAGGCTCCGTCCCAAAGATAATGTGTGGGCAAACTACAGACATGTGACATCTCTGCCATGCTGTAGATTGTGGCCTTCAGTATTTTATTCCTGCAAGTATTTAAGTTCAGTTTACTCCAGAAATCAAAGGTCACAACTTAGTGTTCCACCCAGCTCTGGGTGAATTTTGATAGGTTCTAGATCATCCTGCTCTGTGAAATGAGAATTGTGGATTACTCTATAGGCAGCAAGAATCGGACCTTGGGACTAAAACTTGACGACATGCCTTGTGTGGAATTAGGTAACAGCCCCTCCTGCATGTCAAGTGAACATAACAGGACAGAGCAAGACCAGGACAAAAACAGATAAAGCTTGAACTTTATTAGCCTGTTCAGCTTCCTAGAGGGAGGATCAATGGTCAAAAGTCAGCTTCCATCTATATTGCTTACTTATAGCACTGATACGTATAGTGGTTAGCAGATTTGATGAGCTTTTATCTGAGTTATAAGAGGACAAATAAGAATCTTGCCAATGAGCTATCTTATTGATGTAGTCAGAATACGGACAGAGGGGTTACAGCGCCAGTGGAAGAGGGGTGATGAGAGCATTCAGAACTTAAAAACACTATGTGCATGGAGTCTGAGCTGAGTTATGGTACCTATGAGTGCCGACCTCTCTGCTAGACGAGACATGGACGAATCCCTGACCAGATTTACGCACGAGAGAAATGGAGAACAATTACACAGCTTTGGACAACTCATTTCTTACCGAAGTGTTCGTTCTCCTGGACCTCAAATACAGTCACTGCAGATGGACAAGTAGGTGGATTATCATTAATATCTTTAACTTTCACACGAATATTCAGAGGAGATGCAAGTGGTTTTCCAGAATTATCCTTTGCAACAGCATAAAAAGAATACTGCAACAGGAAGGTCACAGTTAATATGCGAGTCCCTCACATTCCCCTTTAAAACAGAAAAACAATTCTTCCATTTCTATTTCATTTAGCCCCTACTTCAATTTACTAAGAAGTGGGAAATAGACATGGAAGTGGGTTGGATTTGGAGGGAAATTATCATGTCTTTGAGAGCAGTATGTACTGGGTATCAGAGCACAGGGATTTTGGGGTTTTGTTGCTGTTGTCGTTTAAGTGAAATCAGCTCTGCTCTCGGCTGTCCGTTGGCCCAGGATTTGGTCCCTCACCTGTGAGACACTTCCTAGTTTTACTCACTGAATCTTTTTCTTCCCGGTCCAAGGGTTCAGTGACATAGATCACTCCTTCCTGATCAATTGAAAATGGGAATCTTGGCAGTTTCTCCTTTTCAATCAAGGAATAGTGTGCCCCGGGATCATTCCACTGCACCTATGGGGCCAAAGCAATTGTGCAGAAAGAGACATTTATTTATGAAAATAATTTCTGACAACCATGTTTGATAGTTATAAGAAGCCAAAAAGCCAAAAAACACAAAGTATTTTTTCATTTTTAAGCTAAAATAACTTTTTTTTTTGCCAAGTTGTATTGCTGAGTAATACAATCACACAGGTGTAGTTCTCTGCTCTAAAGTAATTCTTTGTGAATCTTCTACAGAGTTTGGTTTATACTCCATGAAACAGAAATTTATGAAAAACATGAATTTTGTAGTTGGTATGATCTGAGGACTAGGCCATGATGTATGGTGCGATTCTAAAAGCTCCAGTGATGATTAAAGCAACTTGAAACTCTTTAATATGCTCTTATTTAAGATAAATGACACATAAATAAAGGGCTTTCCTCTAAACAGTCTCAAGAGACTTCGAGGATCAGAAAAATTGCTAATGCTAACTGTTTCATAAACAACTTGCCAAAAAAAAAACTCAAGAGTAAAACTAGGTTGTATGTATAAAAAAAAAAAAAATACCATGTACCAGACAATTCTAAACACTTATTTTCTCATTAAATCTTCTCAAACAGCCCTATGAGGTTAACAGCTTTTAGCCCCAACCTTTAGAGATAAGGACAGTAGAGCACAGAATTTAAGTGATTTGCCCAAGGGCCTCTAGATGCTTGAAATTTCTATTAAACTATTGTCTCAGTCAGCATGGGAAGAAAATCAAGAATCAGTATTGTCTCTTGTGAGTGAGCTAAGCACCACCTTCTTCTGTCCACACCATGTACCATGGTCTTGATTTTAAGGGAGCTCCCCTTGTACCCCTAAAATTTCAGTTTGAGTTCTCTCTTGAGCTGTCTGCTTCCACACTGCTGACTGCATTTCATGATGTCAAGTACTCCTCTAGTCTGTACAGGTGTGGCTCCTCAGCTTTTCTTTGACAGCCCTGAGAGCTTATAACTCATGAGTTCTTGTTAGCATTTGCAAATGCTTACACATACAACCTAAATAATAAATTGGAAGACATGAATAAAGGCCCCAAATCTGAAATACTCTCGGCAGTGGGGACTAAGATGCTTAGCTGCTCAAGTAGAGAAACAAAGCAGCCCTTTATTTTCATTTTTCTTTCATATAGGTGATGTTCATTAATTCAATGTTCCATAAACTAATAGTCCTATTAGATTGAATAATTATAGATTAATCTATAGTTACATTATGGATTAAGATTAATCTATAATTACATTATAGATTAAGATTATATTAAGAGTAATAAAAAAGAAACTTAGGAAAATACAGACTGGGACTTCCTCAGATCATTAAAACACTTATCTACTTTCATAGCTATTACCTTTCGCTTAAAGCCCACACTGGAGAGCTGTTCTATCCCCATTTTACTGGTGAAAAGTTGAGGCTCAGAAAAGTTCAATAGTTTTAATCAAAATAATGAAGCAAAGATAAGGGGTTTATCATCTGCTTCCAAATCTAGTGCTCTCTCACTAACCCAAAATTCATGTCAATAGTCTCCCGATCTTCTAGAAAAAATCAGATTGGAGAAGAGACCGAAGACGACTTCTAAGAGTTAAGGTAGGCAGCAACCCAGAGTGAAGAATATTGACCATGGAGATGGGAAGGGAGGAGCAGCAGATGGAGGGGAGAGGGGCTGGAGAAGGGGATGTGCTCCAAGGGTAAAGGTTGCCTATTCAACTCTTTCTCAGTCCATCATTGTCCCTTAACCTGTGATGAAATAAGTCTATTATTCCCACAAGAATAAGCAGCAGTTTTTCAAAACTATTTGCAATTCCAAATTCAAAATATATATGTATATACATCTAATGTATATGAATCTATATGTATATATAATGTGTGTACAATCTATTCTATGGCAGCAGTATCCCACCCAGGGAACAGACATCAGTAACATCTACTTTGAAGGCAAAGGTAAGTGAAGCTCTAGTAAAGTTCAAGGGTAAAAAAATTACATACACATTCATATAATGTATAATACACAAATAATTCAGAGATCTGAATCCAAGTTGGTGAAGTCCAGAGTTTATATGTGAAAGATTTGGGGCCACTTTATATCATTTGCTTTTTAGTTATGCTATGTAAGAGTTGACCTAATTTATCAGTAAAGTCCCTAAGGGTGAGTCACTAGAAAACTAGGCCATTTCTCTCTCAGGCCATAGACATCTTTGGGCACCTACCTGAGTGATTCTGATGGGGTGAGGATCAGTTGAGTTTTCTTTGATCTCCACAGTTTCTGGTGCCTTCCAAATATTCTCCTTCACTGTGATATGCACATTTGTTGTATGACTTAAGGGATTTTTTGCCATGTCTTTCACTAAGACCACCAGGTTGTAGGCACCATTCTCAGTGCTATCCAGTTTCTCAGATCCTGTGGGAAGGAGACCAGTAAAGGAAGTGCCTCTGGTAGTAACACAACTTACTTCCTATTTTCCAACTCAGACCTATGAGGGTTTCCCTTGACTTACCTTCTCGGGTAAGTGAAATTCCCCCCGTATTGCTGATCTCAAAATACTTGATATTGTTGACCATGGGAAACTGGACCAAAATTTCATAAGTAAGTTGACCATTGGGAGTGGCTGGGTCATCCTTGTCTGTGGCATTGACATATATGAAGGGTTTTCCTGTTTAACAAAACACACCCATGGGGGAAAATTCTTGAAACTGAAATGAACCACACCAACTTCTGCCTTCTGAGAGATAGCTATAAACCTTTATCCTGCTCCCTTTGTTTAGGATGATGAGGTTCCCCAAAATATAATCCAAATACTCAAGAAATTAAGACAGGTTTTAGTGGTCAGTGGAGTCAAAACTCAGATTTGTAGAAAAGAGCCATTCAAAGAACAAGGTAACTAGTGGTTTTTAGCATAAGAGTACCAAAAAAGGTACTATACATGATATAATACAAGACTGTATCAAAACAATATCACAATAGTCTTGCCCTTTTCATTACATGTCTGTAAAGGTGAGTGCTTCTATTGAGGCTTCAACCAAAACAGCATATGGTAATGGAATGAATGTGAGAACAGACATGAAAATCCAATTGTTTAAAATTTATCCGAAGATCCAGACAATACCATTCTTAGTTCTTTTTGTTAATAAGAACTAAGAACCATTTAAGTGCTTGCTATTTTCAATTGAATGAATACAATTTTTAATTTGTTATAATTTCTAGTATAATAAATACTGATGGTATAACCAGTGACTACAGGTACCAATTGTTGAAATTCCAGAAATTTTGTGAGTTAATTATTCATACCATTCTTATCTATATCACAGAAACTGGCAAATTCTACAAATCAGGACTTTTCTCCCCCCAAAAGACAGCTGTTTACAAACACATCCCAGAGCAGAATTCATATATCCAAAAGGTCTCTGGAGCACTTAATCATTTTTAAGAGTATGGGAGCGCTGGCACTTAAGTTTGAGAACCACTGCTCTGAGGGATTCTATTGGTGAAGAGAGAAAAGGTAAGACCTGGAAAAATCTTGTTGATGAAAGTTCATCAGAGAGTCTTGGGCCCATAACCTCAGGGACAGAGCTAGTGAGATTGCTCCATGCAACAAAGTAGAAGGAATACTTCTGAGTTACTGGAAGTGGGCATGAGACTGGGGAGATTAGGAAACTGGGGATTTGACAGTGAGTTGATAAGCTGGTCAAGAATCTAAAAACTGAAATCTAATACTCATGTTTACTTTGTGTACTGTTATGACATGATGCCCCTTCACCTCCCAAAAATCTTTAGTAAACCCTGTAGCATGCACCAATGCCTTCATGAGGGACTTTTGTGAAAATTAAGGATTGAAACATGGTAGAAGGTTAAGCCATAACCAGGAATTAAGTGAAAACAAAGAGATAGTAAGGGGAAGTAACGTGAGAGTGTAGCTTCCTTGGAGGAGGTGGGAGTATGTACTTGCTAGAGTGCATCAGTGTTCTGAGGTAGTTTAAAATTCACCCTAAAAAATGTTTCTCGGGCCCTCCCTGGTGGCACAGCAGGTTAAAGCACAGCACTAAGAAGCTAAAGCCACTTCCGCATGAGTTCTATCCCTGCCTGCTCTGGAGGAGATCCACATGGCGGGGCAGACCTCTCCTGACCCACCCGCTACTCCCCTCAGCAGTGTACTTCGATGATCTGCCTGTTCTGTTCCGCACTCTGTCTCTGGTGAATCCTCTCACCCCTCCTGCACTTCTCGCCTATACCCCAGCTCTGTGTGCATAAATAAATCTTTTTTAAAAAAAGTTCTCAAATGGAGGTGATTTCACCCCCTAGAGGCCATTTAGCAGTGTCTAAAGATATCTATGTTATAGCTGAGGAGGTGTTGCTACTGGCATGTGGTAAAAAGTCATGTTTGCCGCCAACACCCTAGAATGCACAGAACAACAGCTGACCAAAATAAAATCAGGCCCAAGTTGTCAGTAGTACCAAGGATGAGAAACCATGCCCCAGTCAACAATGCTTAATGAATGACAGCTTTAGCTTTTAGCCATATGAACCTTCCCTCTCTACTTTCTACTTCCATCTTTCCATAGACATCTCCTGTCTGTTACCTGGGCGAGAATTCTGTCTTACTGAGGCGTAATAAAGTGACTGGGGAAATACAGGTGTATTGTCGTTGATGTCTTCCACTCTTATGGTGATGGAGACTGGACCTTCCACTGTTTTTCCTTGAGCATCTAGGGCTATGACCTGGGTTGAGAAGAAAAGGAAACCACCTTGGTGAATCTCAACTTCATAGCACATACCCAAAAGTCACTTGGAGAAAATCAGAATTCAGTAAGAGTATAAATTAGGAGCTGCTAAAATAGGGTACCCATTGCTTAAAGTTGGATAGTTATGCCACTTGCCAGCAGTGATGTCTGTGAACACTGGACTGATGTACTGAAGAGTTAGTGAAATGAAAACATGTGGACCCTGGAAGTGCCATCTCTTCCATAGTGGTCAATCTTCAGAACCAAGAGGAGAAAATACTAGACAGAAAGCCTATCTCACCCTTCCACCTCCCCATAGTTAATCTCTACAATTCCTGGGAATTCAGATACCAACCAAGAAAACTAAGGGAGAGAGGTGAGAGTGTCTTAGTCAGCCCCCAAACTTTAGTAACTTCTGCATCTTGCCAAGCACATAAAATTTTCATTCTAGCCCTGATGCTGCCCTTTTTGTGGGCTCAGGGCCCATAAAAGAGCCATAGGCAGATACCAGTGAAATGTCAGAAAAAGTTGAGTTGGTTTTAAACCAACTGACTGATCTTGGGTGAGTGATGCCATCAGAGGCTTGTATCCATGTACATTGGATTAGTCTAGTCCAAAAAACCTAAAGGAGAGGACACCTTTGTCATAGACTTATATAACTGGTTTTAAAAAAAAAAAAAGGGCAAATGAAATGTCCAAAACATGCCATAATGTCAGGAGTGCTATATAAGGTATTGCATGAAGAGTCTCAATTCACCTGAAGATGATGAACAGGTCTTTTTTCCCTGTCCAGGGGTATGATGTGACGCAGAACTCCATCTGAATTTATATTAATTATGTTATCTGTTTCCCCAGATAGTTGAAAATTCGCAGCGGGAGGATTGGTTATAAACTGGAAAAAAAAAAAGGCAAAAAGTAAATCAAATTGTATGGAAAAGCAATGTGGAATTTGCAGGAAGTCACCATTTCAGGTAATGTTTTCATTTGTACCATCACTAAATAATCAGTTTTTAAAGCAATACATTCCAAAAGTTTGCTTGCACATACTTTTCTCTCAGGAAACGACATATGATACAATTCCATGCACTTACAAAGTTCAGTCAATGCATTAAATTATAGAGATTTTCTCAGGAATATCTGAAAGCTATGATAATATTAGCTTCTAAGATTTGTTTTTCCTAGCAATAAGTTTTTAACATATGTCATGTATTACTTCCAAAAATTGTGGCAAAGATTAAAAATCACTTTAATACGACCCTTCCTGGTGGCGCAGCAGGTTAAAGCACAGCACTAAGAAGCCACTTCAGCATAAGTTTGATTCCTGCCAGCCCCAGAGGTCACCATATGGCATGGCAGACCTCTCCTGACCCTCCCGCTGCTCCCCTCAGCAGTGTACTTTGTCAGTCGGCCTGTTCTGCTCCCCACTCTCTCTGGTGAAGCCTCTCACCACCCCTGCACCTCTGGCCTGTACCCCAGTTCTATAAGTAAATAAGTTTTTTAAAAACAAAATCACTTTAATACAAAACAATGTGAAAGTGCCTTTAACTTCATAAGATTCTATATGATTTTCAGAAGTGAAAAAAGCATCAACAATTATTTATGGAATAGCTAGAGCGAAGCAATAATACACAAAAAGTATTAAACCAACATAAAGTTGCTCCACCTCATTAATAATACTTGAACATTAACAGGCAATATTATGGAGTAAAGAAATGCATGTTCTATTGACGGAAATGGAAATTAGTACAAAACTTTCAGCAATAACTTGAGACAGATATGCTTGATAACAAACATTACTAGACAATCTATCTTAAAGAAATATTTTTTAAACAGTAAATAAATTGCTTATAAGTAGCATTATTTATAATACTGGTAAAGTTGAAAGGTAAAATGGTCAAAGGAAGATAATGAAATTATTATAGTACATAAGAATTTTGATCATTTAAATGTTAATTTGACAAGTTATGAAACAATGACATGAAGTAACAAAAGAAGAATATAAGTAAATTAAGACTAACAGTACCAAAATATTGATGTTACTAGGCAAGAAATGGAATTTCAGCAAAGCAGGGTTGATATGTTGAATGGGTAAGATTGTGGATGAAGACATTTTTGTGCATTGTTGCTTGTTAATATTTCTTTATATTATTAAATGGAAGAACTACCATTTTGTGGTTTACGGAAAAGGTCTGTGATTGGTTGTTGATGGATGGTGACAAGACATTTGATGGTATGTATGGTAAGAAATGAAATCTTGGAACTTTACCAGTATTGTAAATTAATGTTATTTCATTTTGTTTTTTAAAGGAAAGAAATGCCTAGGAAAACTAGAATGCATGAAGACCACAAAATACATGAAGAAAAATGGACACAAGTGAAGGAAAAGCACACGATTCATTAATAATGGTTGGGTTTTCAAGGTCTTCAAAACTTTCAGTAATGAGTGGGTAGATAGTGTTTGGAATATTCTCCAGAACAGATCATGTTATCACATAAAACGAGTCTCAATACATTTTAAAGAACAGAAATCATACAAAAATGTTATCATAGTAGAAAGAAAATAAACCAATATGTAGAAATAATATACTCTAAGGGAAATTAGAAAAAAGGGAAATTAGAAAATTGGATGAAAATATACATACCTTATGAGATGCAAGATAAATAGTACGAAGACATCTATGCTTGTAAAAACTTACAGATGAAGAAATACTAAGATTACAGTAGAATCAACGAAGTAGACATTACAAAAGTAAAGGAAAAAAATTAAAAATCAAAAAAAATTAAAATAACTAAAATCAGGGATTTTTTTTTCATTAAGGAATAGACATTACTGCTTTACCACAGATCATACAAACTAGATAAAATGGATGAATTCTTAAACAGACAAAAACTACCAAAACTGATTAAAGCATAAATAGAAAATCTCAACATAACTAAAGCAAGAGTTCCCGCATAAGCCTAGGACCAGACTTCAGGGGTGAATTCTACACAACATGTAAAGAAGAATGAAAACCAAAACCTTCACAGATCCTTCCAAAAAGGTAGAAGGATAAGAAACACTTCTCATCTCATTCTGTGAAACCAGTATCATCCTGATATGAAAATGAGAAAAACTACAATGTAAAAGCCTTCAACAAAATATTAGCAAACTAAAGCCAGCAACATGTAAGAACTTTATACCATGATCAAGTGGAATGTGTCCCAGAATCCAAGGTTGGATTGAATTATGAAAGCTAATGTAATAACCATATTCATAGACCAAAGAACAAACATCAGATAGGTCTCTTAATTAAGGTAGAGATTAGAGGTAGAAAATTATTTGACATTTTTATAATAAAAATTAAACTAGGACTAGTAGGAAACTTCCTCAATCTAATAAAAGGCATCTAAGAAAAAACCCACAGCTGACATAAAACTTACTGGTGAAAGACTGGCAGCTTACTCAAAAGAACAAGCACAAGATAAGGATGCCCAACCTTGACTGCTCTGTAGAACTCAGGGCAGTTAGTTTTGCTTTTATTTCCAATCTGGATGTTTTTTCTATCTCTGTTCAAAAATACAATCTCAACCATGAAAAATCCGAAAGAACCACTTAAATTAAAGCTAATAAGTTAAGATCAACATACATTCATCAGTTAGATTTCTGTACACCATCAAAACAATCTAGAAACACGATTAAGCAATTTCACTTACTATGGTATCAAAAAGAATAATGCTTCAGAATAAATCTGACCAACAAAATACCAGTATATATAAACTGAAATCTGTATTGCTGAAAGAAATGAAAGACGTAAATAAAAGGGAAAAGTTCTAACTTGTTCCCTGCATTTTCTCTTTCCCCTCCAATTTTTAGCCAGAGTAATCTTTTTTCAAATGGAAATGTAATATGGGGCCCACTGCTGTTGGAAGAAAACCTAAGAGCTGTAGCAGCTATGGTCCCCCTGTGTCTACAGCCCTTTCCAGCGTCTTCTCCAGGCTCTGTCTCCCCACTTGCAATGGCCTTCCACCCACCCTTGCTTCATCCACAGTGTGTGCGCTCCCAGACCGGCCAGGTCCCAGCATTGCCTTTACTGGAACACTTCTCTCCTTCCCTCACCCACTAATTCCTACTGGCCACTGGCTACCTCCTCAGTACCTACCTTCCCAACTGGAGGGGTCAAGCCTCCACCCTACCTGATGGGGGACTAAGAGACAGGTATAACTCTGCCAGCTCAACTCTGTGGCCCCTCTGCTCTAATTTGGTATCAAATTTGGGGATGAGGTTGCTTTCAAGGGAACTATCCTTGAAGGCAAACTTGACAGTTAATGCTCCCTAAGAATATGGGAAGGTCACGGGCATCCCACAAGGGTCATGAAAGCATCCTCAAGCAGTCACCCCAAGGGATTTCTGGTAAATGCAGTACTGTGTGTTTTTCTCCCTTTCCATTATATTTACAGGGTTATTTCAGTGCCCGTTATAGTTCAAGTCTTTTTCCCTGAATCTGATCGTTTTCTGTTATTTAAATGATATGGCCCAGCATGCGGTGGCCAGCCCATAAGCAAGGCCACAAACCTGGGCTCAGAGGAAGTGATGCCAAGGGCCTTTGCTCAGAGAGGCCATCCCAGCAGCTCACACCTGCAAATGCTTCCAGCAGCAAGCCCTCTGAACCTGCAGTCCTCTGGTGAAAGCCAACCCACTGCAGAGGCTGGCTCCCCTCCTGCCCTGGAGGAGGAGCAGAGCCTACAGCTACCTGCCCCCCACTCCAAGCAAGGTGAAAGTACCTGCCCTAAAGCAGCTGAAGTCTCAACAAGGGTGTCCATCGCTCTACTTCACACAGCTTCTGTGACCCATCCTGATGAGCTCAACCACTGCAGCTTTATCTACCACTGTCCACTCAGCCTGCCAACCCCAAAGGCAGCTCTTACCTGGAATATTTCGAAAGACTCTACTTCACCTTCAGGGACAGAAAGCGTCATAGGTTTCAGGGGTCCACGGGGGATTACCTCTTGTCCATAAACAGTTGTCTGTTAAAACAAAAAATTGCATCTTCATCATCATCCATTCTGAATGCATGCGTGTCATTTGCTGGTTTAATTATGGCTTCCAGGACTGATAAATGAAATTGAGATTCTAACTTATCTCACAGCAAAACAGGCACAAAGGGATCTAATATTTGTGGAGACTCTACTATATCAAGGTGGCTGGCCTTGAACTTTGCATTGTATTCTCATTTAGGATTCAAACAGTGGGGAGAATATTCTCTCCCTTGTTACAAAGGAGGCTCAGAGAAGATAAGCTAATTGTCCAGAGTGAAATCCACAAGGGGTTGACAGTAACATGCACATCTAACTGAAGCAAAGCTGTAGTTTCCCTTCAGTGCCACTATGCCTTCTAAATGCTGCATGGTTTTACACCAGCCTCTTCAATGACTCCCTGCCCTATTAGTTTATATAGGGTCCCAGCAATCTAGAGTCCACATCACTTTAAGGACAACTGCATTTATAATGGAAAAAATATCTAAATACGTTTAGTGCAATACTGGCTTGGCAGAGTTACATGATAGATGTTAGTCAAATTTGAATCTGAATTTTAATTGGAAGTTTAAGAAACACTCAACATTTGATTAGCAACTTATATTCAAGGGGCCTCAGGGGAGAATAAAACATAAAACATCTACTTCAAGCTGTAACCCCACAACAGTTTTAAAATCCAAAGACCTAAACTTGACAGACAAGCAGATGCCCAAATCCAGACTGGAATAGTATAAGTGGTGTCTGGACAGGAAAAGCTCACCTGAATAAAGTAGCATGTTCTAAGCTCTGCCCTAAACATGGTTAATCCACACCACAACCCTATGAGGGAAAGTTGTTGTTAGTTCCTTGTTACCTTCAATACACAGAGAGGTGTGTAATTTGCTCGGTGGAGGGTAGCTGAAGATTGGAACGTGCAACTCCAGAACCCGCCCTCACAGCCACCATACCCCACAACCCACCAGGGGGCGCCAAAGTGGCCTGGACTACCTGGCAGGAAATTCTGCTATGTCTGAATGTGAAGGAAGGGCTCCACCTTTCCCAACTAGGAAGACAGGGGAGTTTTTCGGCCCCAGCAACCCTGCACTGTCGTCATCTCTTTTCTTATCGATACCACATCTTTGAAAGGAAACACCGGGCAGGGTGGAGAGGGTACCCAGGAAAGGAGAGCCAGCCATAACCCCCCATATGGAGGAGCACCCTCTGGTGCCCTTCTGAGAAGGCTTTCTTGTCTCTACTTAGGGAGGGGAGACAAGGACAGGATGGGTTAGAATCAGAAGTACAATATGAGGAATGACTTGGGGTTTTGGAGCTGAACGGGTCAAACAAACAAGCAAAAAAGGCAAACTGGGATGAAGATACTTTGTTTTCTACCTCCACTAGTCTTGCCATAGGAACACTGGAAAGAACCCCCAAACCATTTGAGTGATGGGGAAAGATTTTAAGTTCTACCCCTCAGGTCACTGAATCTTAATTAAGTTGATATTGGCAAGCAAACAATAAGAAATGAGAAGCCAGCAGGCTTTGGGATTCGGTCTTCCCTCCCTCAGCCTTGTGCAGCCCCTGGGGTTAGCTGCACCCCCCCCCTTCCCCAACCTTTTCGTCTTAAGAAATCAAGCGGGCTCTTTCCCAGACTCTCTCGCAACTAGGTAGGGGGCCACCAAGTGACCTCATTCTGGTTCTGCTGCATGAAACAAAAGAAGTCCTCTTAGGGGTGGGCAGAAGATGGAGTCTGGCCAAGGTTTCATTTTCCTGATTTAAAAAAGGACAGATATGGCTATCGTTGCTTCCCTGCCCTCTTCCGTGTTCTTGTACAGACAACAGACCTCTTATCTACATCTGTGCCATCATGAACGGGATGGGTTGAACCAGCTCAAAAAATGTGGTAAAGCAAAGGAGGGAGAAGTCCAGGTCTCTAGCCACATCACAGCTCAGGGTTCTTGTCATCTGAAGAAAATAAACCCTTGTTTGTTGAAGACCTTTAAAGTTGCACTCCCTATTACTTGTGGCTAAAGCACTGTTAACAGAGAGTAACTATGTAGACTTCTAGCCCAGCTCTTTCTTCCCAAATTTTTCTTCCTCTGGTATCTCTTCCCCTGGCCCACTGTCACTTTTGTCTCCTGCCCCATTAGCTCCCTCTGGAAGGTGAGGCACAGAAATTGAGTGAGCTGGCCAGTGCAGCGTGGTGGCCCAAGACAAGAACACTGCTTTTTGTGGGGAGATTATTTCATAGCAAAGGGCCTTCATGAACTTTGTGCGCCATCAGCAGGTGATCTGCCTTTCAGCGGATCACATGGTGACAGCACACACAGGAAAAGTACATGAGTCAAGCAAACGTCATAAACAAGCCTGCATTCTTCTGACCTGAATGAGCTGGCTCACCTATCAGGAAGAGAAGACACATCTCACTTGCAAAGTTCAAAGTTGGGCTCTGTATCAAGAGATAATAAATCTCTCGTCCTGCCCAATACCTAGCAATTGGGGCAATTAAGTTTTTAAATTGCATGCACACACTGAGTTATCAAGCCATTCTGACTCATTAGGCCATACCATGAGAACTGGGAAGAACAGTGTGGTAGAAACTTGTGAGACAATGAGGTTTGTGCAGGAGTTGGAGGGGATAACAGGTGCCACCTTGCACAGAATGGTAGACTGGAGGAAAGAGCATGGGGCTGACATTTCCTGCATGGTGGCTATGGAAACAGAACTAGGAACCAGCTCTTCCACACACATTTCTCATGATCTCAACTGTACCAGATGATTTCCCCCAGAGAAGTCCCACCACAGAGTCTCAGCTGGTAGAGGGCACGGTGGGGTAGAGCCAGACTGGCTGTATCACCATGCCCCACTCTTTCTACACCGACTTTCCAAGCAACTAAGGACACTTGCGACTGCCCGAGCTGCCAAACTAGTAACTGCCCTCCTTATGCTTTCCAGCAAGAGTTCTCTTATTGCGTACCTAGGCATATGCCAAACTCTTCTTCCTTATGGAAACATCAGTCACAGACAAAGCTCTGAAAGAAGTGATTTGCCCTCAATTTCCCTGCCTCCTTACTTAGAACCCTTGTCCCAAGCCTCAATCTTCAGTGAACACCCTTGCCATGGACTCATGCTGTGTTTTTGGCCCCTTTATGAAACCAGTTCTCAAAAGAGAACAGGAGAGTCACTCTCAGTATGGAAATAAAATGGCTGGCTATCAGTTTAAATTGCTACTCATGCTGAATTAAGCCTATGCCAAAGGCAAGGAGTTCAACTTTTATTCTTTATGGGAGGGGCTTTGAAGCAGGAGTGAGTCAGGGCAGGAGAGGTAGCACCTTCCCTTCTGCCCCTCAGAGACAGCTGTGCTTGTGGCTGTCTTCTGTCTTCAGAGACAGCTGTGCTTGTGGCTGTGCTTGTGCCACTGCTACCCAGCAGTGGCTTGGGGAGCATTTCTTACTCTAGGTTCAAATCCCACTGGCACTGTGATAAATAGAAAACTTATTTTTGCCTTTTAATCAGGAAGAAAGAAGTGCATGCACCCCTTTTCAAATTACTATGATGGAATATTATTGTAGATCTCCTGTTTCTTTCTGAAACAAGTCCAGAGTCATGAATCTAATTTCTGCCCTGGCACTGTGCTATATGCTGAGACTGCAAAGATACTAAAACACAGTAACTTCCTCATGAGGTCAGGGTCCATGTGAGTGTAGACACTGCATATTTAAAATTCTGTTCTTTGGGGACCCCAGGTGAAAGGAACAAAGATTTGAGGTATGAACATCCTTCTAAGGAACAAACAAGTTCTTGCCCACGATCTTGCTTTTTAATACAACAAATTGTTTGACAAGTGTCTGAACTGTCTAAGCCTCTGGAGGGAAGCAGGAGTGGCTTGCCACTTTACCTGAGGTCAAGAGTCAGGTTACTCCAGATCCATCCAGCTTTGGCCTCCAGAAGCCTGACATTCATTAGGGTTCGCTCAACAAGTGACTAAAGACAAGTTGAACCAGAAAAATCCAAGCCATACATGGGAAGGATGGCCCCAAGTAGAACAGGCTTGAAAGTAAACGTTTTCCTTAATACACTGGTGATAATTTCTTATGGTCACTTATTTTAATCCCCTGTTCTTTCCAGATGCTCTAGGCTGGAAAGATGCATGAACATCTAAACCTGAGCCCATAGATTTGATTTAAACTTTGCCCATTTAGTGGTATTAAGAACTGAGAATAAAGTAGCGTCCCTGATTCAAAGACAGGCTCATGATTTGTGGTCATTTTATCAGAAATACGACATCAGGACAAATTATTAACTTACTTTTGATAGGTTTGTTTAAAAAGTGGTGGTACTATTGTTTTCTGATATGACAGAAGGCTGGGGGGAAGTCACCTAGAAATAAAGAACGTTCTCTTCTCTTACCTGATAAAGTGTTAAGAGACACAGGCAGCCCAGCTGGGCAGTAGTCATTGTGGTTGTCTTCATTCAAACTCCTATGGATAAACCAGAGATAAAATGACCTGTCACCAATTGTTAACACCCTATTCTTCCCAACCAGTAAGGTTCACTGGATGATACATATCCCCAAACAGGCTACTGGCCACTCCTTTTCCTTACTTGTTTAAGATCTCCATTGATTAAGATCTCCATTTAATGGTCTTAAGTGATAGGTAAGAAATGTAACTTTCCTAATAATATATGGAAAGGGAAGATATTTTTTGGTAGGACATCTAAATGCTAAATTTAACTGGTGTTGATTCAGTTATTTATATATGTATGTATGTATGTATGTATTTGTATGTATGTATGTATATGTATATATAGCTGTCTGTTCAAACAGAAAGTACCAGAAGAATGCTCACAATCCTTCATTCAGAGTCTCTCTGTCTCTGGTCCCCCAAACATTGCTGTTAACTACACAGTAAGTATAAGGAGAGAATGTGCTTATGCTCCAAAAGCAAACCAAGTCAGAATCAATGTCAGAATCAATGTGCTATTTTATTCTCTCCTATTCAATATTACTTTTCCTTTGTTCCTTGTAGCTTCACATTCACAAAAGTATACCTCAGGCCCTCCCTGGTGGCGCAGCGGGTTAAAGCACAGCACTGAGAATCTAAAGCCGCTTCCGCATGAGTTCGATTCCCGCCTGCCCCGGA